GGGGGGGTGGCACCTGTCTATAGGAGCAGAGCATGGAAGGGGGAGGAGGGGAGGCACATATTAACACTCTCACACCACCTTATCATTCCACATGGCTGCTTATAATAGAATATTGGCAATTACTGAAATTGAATTTCCAAGCAGATAGATTATTTTTGCATTCCATCAGTAACCCATTCTGAGAATGTAATTTCTCTGCAGTCTGTGTAATTTCATGGTGATCAATGTAACCTCATCTTAATCAACAAAGTTAGCGACTAAATCACATACAACTCAAGCTCTTATTGCGATTCACTTCAGCACTGACAGCACCTCACACAGACCAACCGGGAATATATATATCTACTTTAATAGATTTACATCTATCACATACGGATCAAGTAGATATACCAGATCCTCTGCCAGGGTACATATGGTAAGGGATGTGCTGATAAAAATAGTTTAAGTTATTTCAATTAAACAACAACACATACACTATATTATCAGTTTATTATCATCATACAAAAGGAAGTAATAAATATCATACAATATAATAAACCCCTACGCCCAGCTCTGTTTGCAGGAAGTAATACATATCATACAATATAATATATCCCTACCCCCAGCTCTGTTTACAGGGAGTAATACATATCATACAATATAATATATCCCTACGCCCAGCTCTGTTTACAGGAAGTAATAAATATCATACAATATAATATATCCCCCTATTCCCACCTCTGTTTACAGAAAATAATAAATATCATACAATACAATAAACCCCTACGCCCAGCTCTGTTTACAGGAAGTAATAAATATCATACAATATAATATATACCCCTATACCCACCTCTGTTTACAGAAAATAATAAATATCATACAATACAATAAACCCCTACGCCCAGCTCTGTTTACAGGGAGTAATAAATATCATACAATATAATAAACCCCTACGCCGAGCTCTGTTTACAGGAAATAATAAATATCATACAATATAATATATCCCTATGCCCAGCTCTGTTTACAGGAAGTAATAAATATCATACAATATAATATACCCCTACACCCAGCTCTGTTTACAGAAAATAATAAATATCATACAATACAATAAACCCCTACACCCAGCTCTGTTTACAGAAAATAATAAATATCTTACAATATAATAAACCCCTACGCCCAGCTCTGTTTACAGGAAGTCAGTAATATCATACAATATAATATATCCATACGCCCAGCTCTGTTTACAGGAAGTAATAAATATCATACAATATAACAAACCCCTACGCCCAGCTCTGTTGACAGGAAGTAATAAATACCATACAACATAATATATCCCTACGCCCAGCTCTGTTTACAGGAAGTAATAAATATCATACAATATAATAAACCCCTACACCCAGCTTTGTTTACAGGAAGTAATAAATACCATACAATATAATATATCCCTACACCCAGCTCTGTTTAAAGGAAGTAATAAATATCATATAATATAATATACCCCTACACCAAGCTCTGTTTAAAGGAAGTAATAAATATCATATAATACAATATACCACTACACCAAGCTCTGTTTACAGGAAGTAATAAATATCATATAATACAATATACCCCTACACCAAGCTCTGTTTACAGGAAGTAATAAATATCATACAATATAATATACCCCTATGCCAAGCTCTGTTCAAAGTTAGTAAGAAATACCATACAATATAATAAACCCCTACGCCCAGCTCTGTTTACAGGAAGTAATAAATATCATATAATATAATATACCCCTATGCCAAGCTCTGTTCAAAGTTAGTAAGAAATACCATACAATATAATAAACCCATACGCCCAGCTCTGTTTACAGGAAGTAATAAATATCATACAATATAATATACCCCTATGCCCAGCTCTGTTTACAGGAAGTAACTAGAACAATGACTGGTCAGTAAGGGCCCCGTCTTGTGGCAATATATCCCCATAATCATCAAGAAGCAATCTGCCCATATAGCTGAGCTTGACATTTGACATTTGAACTTCAAAAAGAATCGCAAGGAAGCAAAATATACATTTTACATGTACTATGATGTGAGTCTTGTTTCCTTCCACCTCCATATTTGCTGGGCTAATAGAAATGAAAATACCGGTGCAATTCTCATTTGTTAGCTTTGATTTGTTTGATTTCACCTTATATACCTCCTCCATCAAGAGCCAGGGTCAAAGTCTGAGATCCACTTTGTCTTTGACCTTTGGACCCAAATGACCTTAACCATTAACCCAGTGACCCTGATCTCTGGTCAGTTGACTTATTCTTTAATTCCGACCAACTTTGCTTCTTAATATCATAACAAAATGTTCTTCAGTGAAAAATACAAAACTTGACCTTGACCCTTTGGACCGCGTAACCTGGCCCTAAGGTCAGTTGACTCTGTGTTAAGTTCTGAACAACATTGCTTCATAATGTCATAACAAAATGTTCATCAGGGAAAAGGTACAAAATTTAACCTTCATCTTTGATCCAGTGACCTTGACCTTTGGTCAATTGACTCCTTGTTTAATTCTGATCAACTTTGCTTCATCATGTCATAACAAAATGTTCATCAGTGAAAAGATGCAAAATTTGACCTTGACATTTGGTTCTAATGACCTTGACCTATGACCTCGACTTTTTACCACAGTGTGTCTCTTTGTTTAATTCCGAACAACTTTGCTACATAATGTCATAGCAAAATGTTCACCAGTGAAAAGCTACAAAATTTGACCTTGACCCCTGACCTGATGACCTTGACCCAGTTGACACCTTGTTTAATCCTGATCAACTTTGCTTCATAACGTCATAACAAAATGTTTATCAGTGAAAAGATGTAAAATTTGACCTTGACCTTTGAACCTAATGACCTTGACCTTTGACCTTGACTTTTTACCTCAATGTGTATTTTTGTGAACTGAACATCATGACCACGTTTCATGTTCATCGGTCAATAAATACTAAAGTTATCAGCCAGGAACAACATTTGTGGACAGACAGACAGACAGACAGACAGGGTGATTACTATAGGGCACCCGGATCTCTGATACGGGGCCCTAATAAATATCATACAATATAATATATCCCTGTACACCCAGCTCTGTTTACAGGAAGTAAAAAATATCATACACTATGAAATATCCCTACGCCCAGATCTGTTTACAGGAATTAAGAAATATCATACAATATAATATATCCATACGCCCAGCTCTGTTTACAGGAAGTAAGAAATATCATACAATATATTATATCCCTACGCCCAGCTCTGTTAACAGGAAGTAACAAGAGGCCCAATGGGCCTGCATCGCTCAACTGATATTAATCTCACACTTGTAATCTTAAAAGTGGACTAAAATACAGCTACAGGCAAAATATCAGTGTTTCATTCATAAGAACCTATTAAAAGATTTAAACATATGACACCTGTGACCTTGAATGTCGAACAAGGACATTATAATATAAGGTTGAACAGAGTTTATAGTCTTCCAACCCAGCATACTTCTGGAAAAATTTCATTACCCTGGGCCTTTTGGTTATACAGAACAAATCATTTAAAGATTTAAACATATATTGACCACTGTGACCTTGAATATGGGCGAAGGTCATTCACTTGGTAGTCCTTCATCCCAGCATGTTAATGGCCAAATATCATCACCCTTGGCCTTTTGCTTATTAAGAAGAAGTCATTCAATGGTTTTAAACATATTTGACCCGTGACCTTAAAATACAGATATCAAGGTCATTCATTTGAACTTGGTAGTCCTTCATCCCAGCATGTAACTGGCCAACTATCATCACCCTAGGCCTCTTGGTTATTCAGAAGAAATTGTTTAAATGTTTTTAACATATTTGACCCCTGTGACCTTGAATATAAGTCAAGGTCATTTATTTGAAAAATCCTGGTAGCCCTTCATCCCAGCATGTTACTGGCCAAATATTATCACCCTAAGCCTCTTGATTTTTCAGAAGAAGTTGTTTAAATGTGTTTAACATATTTGACCCCTGTGACCTTGGATAAAAGTCAAGGTCATTTATTTGAACAAACTTGGTAGCCCTTCATCCCAGCATGTAACTGGCCAAATATCATCATCCTAGGCCTCTTGGTTATTCAGAAGAAGTTGTTGAAAGTTTTCAACATATTTGACCCCTGTGACCTTGAAAATTGATGAAGGTCATTCATTTGAACAAACTTGGAAGCCCTTCATCCAAGCATGCTTCTGGCCAAATATCATTACCCTATGCCTTTTGGTTACTGAAAGAAGTTGTTTAAAGTAAAAAGTTGACACCGGATGGACGCCGGACGGACGCCCTACGCCGCACCATGCCATAAGCTCACTTGTCCCTTCGGGCCAGGTGAGCTAATAAATATCATCAAATAAAATCCATCCCTACATCCAGCGCTGTTTACAGGAAATAATAAATATCATACAATATCATAAACCCCTTACACCCAGTTCTGTTTACAATAAGTAAGAAATATCATACAATATAATATACCCCTACGCCCAGCTCTGATTACAGGAAGTAATAAATAGTATACAGTATAATATACCCCTACGCCCAGCTCTGATTACAGGAAGTAATAAATATCATACAATATAATATACCCCTACGCCCAGCTCCGTTTACATCATTTTAACTTGGTGAAAACTACCATCTCTGTAAAGTTAATTGACTGTTAGTAGAAATGAAGAAATTTGTATGACTGGCTCACTGTCACCTTACTCTCATAGAGACGTGGATAGTTTGGTTCTCCAGTACAGTACAGAGATATCACTCTGATTGGACACATTACACAGTACACTGGCCACGTGTCAGAACCTCATTATTTACACACCCACTTCCTGTCTAGTGACCACTGAGCAGAAAATTCAATATCTTTCCTAAATGTAATCTCAAGTAATAATGAATTGCTGAAGAGCTATGTGACAAAAAGTTTTCATGAAAGTAATGGAAGAAAGATTTCAAATCATTTTTTTACTTCATTACAATCCTGAGTGTGGGACTTCACTATACTCCCAAGACATTACAGATGTATCTCCCCTGAGTGTAATTGTCAGTAACAGTATATACCTATCTCCCCTTGGTGTAATTGACAGTAATAGTACACACTTATCTCCCCTTGGTGTAATTTACATTAATAGTACATACTTATCTCCCCTAGATGTAATTGACAGTAATAGTACATACTTATCTCCCCTTGGTGTAATTTACAGTAATAGTACATACTTATATTATCTCCTCAGGGTTTAATTTACAGTAATAGTACATACTTATATTATCTCCTTAGGGTGTATAATTGACAGTTATAGTACATACTTATATCCCGGGGGTGTAATTTACATTTAGAGTACATACTTTTCTCCCGGGTGTGTAATTTACAGTAATAAACCATACTTATTTCCCCCCTGTCAATTAACAGTGATAAAATATATTCATATCTCACTAAATATAAAATTAAAGCAACAACACAAATGTATCACCCCTGGATGGAAAATCTATAATGATTATAAAAATTTACCTCCCCTGGGTGTAAATTGACAGATATTTAAAATTTAAAAATGTATATCCCCTGGGTGTAAATCAACAATGTTAATGCATACATATCTCCTGGGATGAAGTTGACAGTGATAGAATATACTTACTTCCCCTGTTTTTATATTGACAGTGATAATACATACTTATCTCCCCTGGATGAAAATAAACAATGATAAATCATAATAATCTCCCCCCCTGGGTGTTATTGACAGTGATAAAACATAATTATCTCCCCTGGGTGTTAATAGTGATTATACATGCGTATATCCCTGTTTGTATATTAATAGTGATAATAAATACTTATCTCCCCTGTTTGTAAATTAAAAATTGAAAGAACATATTTATTGCCCCTGTATGAAAATAAAGAATTGTCTCCCTTGTATGTAAATAATAATAGACTTACTGATCTGCCCTGGTGATACCACGGTTGACATTGAGTGGACACACTTGTAGTAACATTCCGGGGGTGGCTCCAGTAACCATCGTTTCCTGCTGGTAATCTGTGCCTGCCACGACATCAGGTCCACATTGTCTATCTGTCAACAACCATAAATCAAAGCCTTAACAAACTGACTAGCTCTTTAATTTCCTGGTTTCAAGTTGAATTCAATGGAAAAATTAGATAAAATCTTTTAAATTAACTACAATTCAGGAAATAGACCTTGATGTAGGAAACATTAAAAGTGTTTTTCACATGAATATCAGTAATGACAAGGAAGGAGTCTACAATCAACACTAACAACAGTTACACACATGTGACGATGGCATCACTTTTTACATCAGAAATCATTTTCTATTCTACCATGTGTGATGTAATAACACTTTTCATTGGTTAATTACAATATGTTATTGGAGAATAGACCATGGGTGTGAGTGTAGAATAAATAGTTTACAACAGGTGAAGATCATTTCTTTTTACAAATGTTTAAACACTCCATGGCAAAAAGTTACTGGCCAAAGATCATGACCCTTGGCCTTTTGGTTCTCCAGAAGTTGTTTGAGCTTTTGAATAAATGTGACCACAGTGATCCCAAATATTGTGAAAGGAAATTTCAGAAAGCAAATTTTGTAGCACTCTGAGTTTAAGACGTCTGTACCCGTAATAAGATCTTGAAGTTGAAGCAGGAATAATTATCTGTATGTTCATAAAATAGCAACATTCCATCTGTGATATATTGTCAATAACAACTTCCACCATTTTGGAACACATAACCTAAAGTGTCTTTTCTTTATTAACGGGAAGCCTTAACAAGGGTGATAAGCCATTTTATTTGACAAGATGCTGAAACATCTAGCTTTGAAAAAACAAGCGAATTTGTGGAATTTATATCCCCCGCTTGCAGGACATATTGTAGGTAAACATTAATGAAGTTAGGTTTAAACATGTGAGTATCGTGCTGTTGAGACATAATGTATAGCTTGACACTCGAAGAAAAAACAAGCCTTATACAGAAGTTAGACTTTTTATTGAACATATATTACGTTATTCAAGGGGCCATAACTCTGCCAAATAAAGACTGCTGAAAGTGGTCATTGAACTGGTTGAGCCCTTACAGTATTTAACCCTGATACCAAGTTTGAAGAAAAAATTGTTTATCATTTGTTGCAGTTATTGCACGGAAACAGCAGATAATGACGTTTTTCGTAATTCAAATGGGCCATAACTCCGTCAAATAAAGTCTGCTGAAATTGGTCATCATACTTGGCTGAGCCCTTAAGGCATTTAATCCTGTTAGCAAGTTTGAAGAAAATCGTTTAACCTTTGTTGCAGTTATTGCAAGCAATGGAAGCGTGACAGACAGACGGACAAACCCAAATTGATATCCCCTGTGATAACATGTACCTGTCAAGAGACAGACATTAATCATCACAGAAACGTAATGACCCTCACAACAGTGTAGGAAATATCATACCTATCTAGTATCTAGAAACGTAATGACCCACACAACAGTGTAAGAAATACCATACCTATCTAGTATCTAGAAACGTAATGACCCTCACAACAGTGTAGGAAATACCATACCTATCTAGTATCTAAAAACATAATGACCCTCACAACAGTGTAGGAAAAACCATACCTATCTAGTATCTAGAAACATAATGACCCTCACAACAGTGAAGGAAATACCATACCTACCTAGTATCTAGAAACGTTATGACCCTCACAACTGTGTAGGAAATACCATACCTATCTAGTATCTAGAAACGTAATTACCCACACAACAGTGTAGGAAATACCATATCTATCTAGTATCTAGAAACGTAATGACCCTCACAACAGTGTAGGAAATATCATACCTATCTAGTATCTAGAAACGTAATGACCTACACAACAGTGTAAGAAATACCATACCTATTTAGTATCTAGAAAAGTAATGACCTTCACAACAGTGTAGGAAATACCATACCTATCTAGTATCTAAAAACATAATGTCCCTCACAACAGTGTAGGAAAAACCATACCTATCTAGTATCTAGAAACATAATGACACTCACAACAGTGAAGGAAATACCATACCTATCTAGTAGCTAGAAACGTAATGACCCACACAACAGTGTAAGAAATACCATACCTATTTAGTATCTAGAAAAGTAATGACCCTCACAACAGTGTAGGAAATACCATACCTATCTAGTATCTAGAAACGTTATGACCCTCACAACTGTGTAGGAAATACCATACCTATCTAGTATCTAGAAACATAATGACCCACACAACAGTGTAAGAAATACCATACCTATCTAGTATCTAGAAACAAAATGACCCTCACAACAGTGTAGGAAATACCATACCTATCTAGTATCTAGAAACGTAATGACCCTCACAACAGTGGAGGCACAGTTCCTCATACAGACAGCTTGACATGTACATTATCCCCCTATAGAAAAAGAGGCCCAATGGGCCTACATCGCTCACCTGGAATAAATCTCACACTTGCCACTTTAAAAGTGTTCTAAAATAAAGCTACAGGCAAAATATCAGTATTTATGATTAAAGTCATTCAAAAGTACCTGTTAAAAGATTTTAAAACATTTGTATAGCCTTTCATCTCAGTATGCAACTTGCAAAGTATCAACATCCTGAGACCCATGGTTATTCAGAAAGGGTCGTTTAAAGATTTTAAACAAATTTGACCCCTGTGACCTTGAATATAAGTCAAAGTCATTCACTTTAACAAACATAGTATTCCTTGATCTGACTAAATATCAACATTCTGAGCCTTTTGGTTATTCAGAACAAGTTGTTTAAATATTTTGAACATATTTGCTCCTTGTGACCTTGAATATGATTCAAGGTCATACATTTAAACAAACTTTGTAGCCCTTCATCTCAGCATTCTAATGGCCAAATATCATCACCCTGTGCATTTTGGTTATTCAGAAGAAGTTGTTTAATGTTTTAACATATTTCACCCCTGTGCCCTTGAATATGGGTGAAGGTCATTTATTTGAACAAACTTTGTAGCCCTTTATCTCAGCATGCTACTGGCCAAATATCATTACCCTGGGCATTTTGGTTATACAGAAGAAGTTGTTTAAAGGTTTTTAACATATTTGACCCCTGTGACCTTGAATATGGGTGAAGGTCATTCATTTGAACAAACTTGGTAGCCCTTCATCTCAGCATGCTACTGGCCAAATATCATCCCCCTGGGCATTTTGGTTATTCAGAAGAAGTTATTTAAAGGTTTTTTAAGACAATTGACCCCTGTGACCTTGAATATAATTGAAGGTCATTCATTTGAACAAACTTGGTAGCCCTTCACCCAAGCATGCTACTGGCCAAATATCATCTCCCTGGGCAGTTTGGTTATCGAGAAGAAGATGTTTAAAGTTTTTAACATATTTGACCCCTGTGACCTTGAAAATGGGTGAAGGTCATTAATTTTAACAAACTTTGTAGCCCTTCATCCCAGTTTGTTTCTGGCCAAATATTGATACCCTAGGGCTTTCGGTTATTAAGAAGTTGTTTAAAGTAAAATATTGACGCCGGACGCTGCGCCACGGCATAAGCTCACTTGGCACTTCGTGCCAGGCGAGCTAATAAAACTGAATTAATGCCTGCATTGCTTTGAAATACTCTAATATTGAGAGAAAACACTGTTCTGTCAATAATAAACATACAATATTCATTAGTTTAATATTAAACATTAGAATATGCGGAAATTGTGATACTGTCTCCCTACATTGGATTTTCAACTAGGGATGTACTTCCTACTTCCGTCTATGAATACACTCCTATGACCTTAACAGGATTCATCAGTTTTAGCTTCCCACTATGTCTCCAATTTACAAAATTTCAAATATTTGTTATCAATCTTTATCTATCATGTGTTGTGGACTGACAAGCTTTGACATAGGCCGATGACATGAATAGGAAATAATTTGTTTATAATAATCATGGAGGAAGATTGCACTGTGATAGGGCTTTTAGACAACACCATGTTTTGATTAATATAAACATACATATTTTAGTGGTGGCTGTAAATAATGCACTATATTAATATGATTGTGCTAATGAAAGTTTCTATTTATTATTTTCTATTTCATATTTTGTGGGTGTGACATTTTATCAAATTATTATTATGCTAATCTGTAAAAACTTAATAGCACTTAGTTTGACTATAATATGTAGGTTCACAGTATATTTATGATCTATTACCCCGTATCATGTAAATAGTAGATTGATAATAAAATCATAAAATTTGAGTAATATATAATGTCACAGAAATGATATATATAATGTATCAGAAATACATATCTAAGACATGATATACAATATCTCAGTAACCATTACTGGAGATGTGATAGAGTAAAACACTGACGTGTAGGTGGGCGCCATGTCCAGGACTTCCCATGAAGATCCAGTCGGTTTTACTAGATTCTGAGTCGACAGGAAGGAAGTCTGGCCGATGGTAATGTTTCCTTAAGATGTTGGCAGCCGAGAAATCACAGTTACCCCTGCAGAATAAAATTATCATTGTTAAAAACCTAAATATGTCAATAATGAACCCTGGTGCATAAGTGGTCTTCAAATTAACTTAAGCTCAATATCACAAATACTGTAAAAACTATTATATATTTCTACCTATCAGGGTATTTAGTTACTGTTCCTATAGCAAAGTTCCTTCATGAAGACCTGAAATAGAGAAAGGTGCCTCATAGTATATTGACCCAGAGCGAACCAAGAGGCCATTTACAACTTTATAACACCTGTTTGACCCTACCCCTCAACGTTTTACCCTATCCTTCAACTCCCAGGGTCAGCCCCGCTTTTTGTACAATTGTGAACCCCCTCCACCTGAAAATGCTTTCAACCAATGTGGTTGGTATCTTCTCATAGTTCCAAAGAAGTTGCTTCAACAATGTAATCAAATTACCATTTTTGGCCCTGTACCTATATCCCTTAACCCTTTCACCCCTATGTAACTTTAGTAGACTCTACCATACATTGATATGGATGAGTCCATTATGGTCTACAGTGATGAAAGGGTTAAGGTAATAAATTTGTGTCACCATTTCTCAGTAGAATTTCTTCAAATTTTTGTAGTTATATTGCCTTAAAGTGAAGAACATTTTCTGCCACAAAAAAATATAGGTAGTCTGAATTTTAAGGATTTTAAATGGAAATTTATGTTAAAAGGAGTGAATTTTGAGAAAAAAATGAAAGACACAATTTTCTGCCAAATAATGTCAATAAAAACTTCACAGTAGTAAGATAGGTAGCCGGTTTCCTGAAGTACAAAACAAGAGGCCCAGAGGGCCTGTATCGCTCACCTGGATATCTAAGCAATCATGGCAAAATATTCTCCAAATGAGATCCAAGGGAATATGCCAGACCCCAAGGCCAATCCTTGTAGCATATCTGTATTTGATTTTTTATGCCCAGCAATTTTATGTATGGTGTTTGGGTGGGTATCTCAACTGTTTCCAAGCTGTGACTCAGAAACTAGGTCCCTAGGGTTGTGGCCAGACTCCAGGATCAATTCCAATATCATGACTGCATTCGTCTCTTTATGCCCAACAATTGTATATATAGTTTTGGGGTGGGGATCTTAACCATTTCAAAGTTATGTCCCAGGAGTTAAGTCTCCAGGGGTGGGGTCAGACCCTAGGGCCATCCTGGGAGCAAATGTGCATTCCTTTCTTTACACTCAGCGATTGTATATATGGTTATATGGTGGGGATCTCAACCATTTCCAAGAAATTGTTGACGGACAGACGACGGGCGGACGACGGACAGACGACGATGGACGGACGGACGACGGATGCCACGGTATGGCATAAGCTCACCTTGGTCCTTCTGACCCGGTGAGCTAAAAATGGACACATGTGACTCATTGATAAAAAACAGCTGAATTAATGCCTGGATTGCTTTGAAATACTTTAATACTGAGAGAACACACTGTTTTGCCAATAATAAACATACAATATTCATCAGTTTAAGATTAAACAACTCTAGACTCATTAGAATATGCGGAAATTGTGATACAGTCTCCCTACATTGGATTTTCAACAAGGGATGTACTTTCTATTTCCGTTTATCAATACACTCATTCGACCTTAATCATTTTTCAATCACCACCATGTAAGAATGCCTCTACCCAAATATGGCTGACATCCATCTTACAGTTCTAGAGATGAAGTCGCTGAAAGCAATATGGCCAAATACAGTTTTTCACACACCCCTCCCCCCTCAGCCCCCTGGGGGCACACACCCCTCCCCCCTCAATCCCCTGGGGGCACCGTCTCCTTCTTGACAGAATTTAAAAACTTGACCACTTGCTTCTTAAAAAAATATGGTTGTTATCAATCATTAAGTTTCAGAGGAAAAGGCTTTTAAGTTGATATGGCTAAGCTACACTTTTACTTCTGCTCCTCAACTCTCAAGAAAGTCAGCCCATCCATTTATACAATTTTTAATTCCCACCACCTAAAGATGTTTCCAGTCAGTTTATTCAGTGACACAGAATAATCTGCGAGAAGAAAATCATGATGATTGGAGGGATTGATGACAGGTGTCAAGATATGGCATACGTTCATCTTTGACCTTCGGACCAGGTGAGTTAGAAATGATGTAGCTGAAATCCTACAACCTGTGTCCCGCCACTCCTTTGTGTGACCTATCGACCCTAAAAAGGGTGCAACAGGACCTTTTTCAATTATTCAAAATACATTTTATCTTGTGATTATGACACAGCATCTTGTAATTACAAGACAGCTAATTAGTATTTACATAGTTTTGTCCGTATAACTACATATGTAGGTTGTAATTACAATTAAGGATTTTAAATGTAAATGTGTTCCTACGGCATAACAACAAAGAGGTGAGATGTACAGATCTAATTTTAATTTTAAGTAGACCGGCAAGTAAACAGCCTAATTAATTGTGTATATTGATTTTGATTTAAACATATTTTATTTGTCATTCAACAAAAAGGATTAGGCACAAGTTATCTCAACTTAGAAAAGCCCGCTCCTGTATATATTTCTTATATGTATATTATCATGTATATCATAAAACCTTATATATGAAAACACTAGATTGCGTATGTTCCTGTGATTTAGTCAGTTGTGTCAGAATGTTTTTGAATGATTACCTACTGTATACTGGAGGGTGACAATGACAAATAAGTGTTGACATTATTCCCACCTGAGGCAGCAGGTAACCAGCTGTGACATCTAGAGTAACGAGAGATTTAACCTGGGAAGGGGGAGACTACACATACCATCAGCTGCATTAGATGTAAATGATCTAAGATTAAAATATAACAGTTTCACACCATAAACTCATAAACTAACAAGATTCAATTGCATCTTTTTATTATTAAGCAAGAAACCAAGCAACGACAAAGTAATATAATATTCAGGTTTAAACAAGAGCCCCACAGGCCTTCAGCACTCCCCTATGTTTTTTTGGTGTTTTTAACACATTTGACTCCCGTAAACTTGAAGGTCAGTCATGGTTATTCAGTCATAACTCTAGGCTTTATAATGCTGTTGAAGTCCTTTAGACATTTTGACATGCTTTTTTATGTGATCTTGAAGGAGGTCAAATCAATTAATTTGACCAAAACTAAATCCAAATCACCAGTGCAAGCTTCAGGAAAAATATCACTCTACATCTAGTGATTCTGTAAAAGTCGTTAAGGATTTTATTGACAGGTCAGCAAGGGCCCTGCAATGCGCCTAACCATACCCCCCCCCTAGCCTCTCCATGGTATTTTTATAGCAACAGTGACCTTGACCTTAAAAACTTTTAAAATTCCTTTTGCACATCTACATATCACAGTGTATCAACTTGTCAAATACTCCAGTATCTAGGATGCTGTACCACCAAGATCTATTTTCAGTGACAATGCCCTTGACCTTGACCTTAGAAACTTAAAGCAGGGTTGTGGGGCTAGTTGAATTACACGTCACCCCTTCAGTAGAGAGAAGAAATTTAAATAGCCTGCACTTGACTTTTCTTTCTTTCACACTTAATGTTTTTATTATGTGAAATAATTGATTTAAAAAAAAAAATGATTGACATTTTAATTATGATGGTACATGTTCAATCAAATAGCATCTTTATCTTACAACTTGTCAACAGACCTGTCAAACTGGTGACGGATCACAGGTGTGACTTATTGTTCGATGTAGAAACTTGTTATGATAGACAGATCGAGGGGGTCACACCCTGTGGTTAAGTATTTGGGAATTCCCCCATAACTTGAAAGGGACGTGTGTGTGTGTTCGCAAATGAAGAATCTAACTCACTTCATTTTATCGACCTCAATAAACTCCACCTCATACATTTTCGTAAGCAGGAAACCCTGGATCAGCCCAAGACATAATCACAATCAATACGTTATCTGCCCTTGTCTCGACTGAGATGTCCGTCAGACAGAAAGTCAACTACCTTTTGGGTAGGTTTGGGTGCTTTATTATCTCCCTTTATTAATATTTATCCATGTTTGTATTCAAGGTTCTGAGGTCCCAGACAAGTAAATCATGGAGGACAACATGCCCCGTACTGAGAGCTCTGTGCCTGTCTGGTACATGGTTGGTAGACAGCCTGGTACTGTGCCTGTCCGGTACACGGTTGGTAGACAGCCTGGTACATAGTTGATAGACAGCCTGGTACTGTGCCTGTCTGGAACATGGTTGGTAGACAGCCTGGTACATGGTTGGTAGGCAGCCTGGTACTGTGCCTGTCTGGTACATGGCTGGTAGACAGCCTGGTACTGTGCCTGCCTGGTACATGGTTGGTAGACAGCCTGGTTCTGTGCCTGTCTGGTACACGGTTGGTAGACCGCCTGGTACTGTGCCTGTCTGGTACATGGTTGGTAGGCAGCCTGGTACTGTGCCTGTCTGGTACATGGTTGGTAGACAGCCTTGTACTTTGCCTGTCTGTTACACGGTTGGTAGACAGCCCTGTACTGTGCCTGTCTGGTACATGGTTGGTAGACAGCCTGGTACTGTGCCTGCGTGGTACACGGTTGATAGACAGCCTGGTACTGTGCCTGTCTGGTACATGGTTGTTAGACAGCCTAGTACTGTGCCTGTCTGGTACATGGTTGGTAGACAGCCTGGTACACGGTTGATAGACAGCCTGGTACACGGTTGGTAGACAGCCTAGTACTGTGCCTATCTGGTACACGGTTGGTAGACAGCCTGGTACATAGTTGATAGACAGCCTGGTACTGTGCCTGTCTGGTACATGGTTGGTAGACAACCTGGTACTGTGCCAGTCTGGTACACGGTTGATAGACAGACTGGTACTCTGCCTGTCTGGTACATGGTTGGTAGACAGCCTGGTACTGTCCCTGTCTGGTACACGGTTGGTAGACAGCCTGGTACACGGTTGATAGACAGCCTATCTGGTACACGGTTGGTAGACAGCCTGGAACATAGTTGATAGACAGCCTGGTACTGTGCCTGTCTGGTACATGGATGGTAGACAGCCTGGTACTGTG